ATCCAGCAAAATTGATTTTTTTTTAACTTGGAAGGGGGGGGACTTTAACCCCCCCCCCCCCCCAGGATCCGCCGGTACCCATAAGTGATAACCCACTACAAGAATTCAATACATTTACATTAGTCCGTTAAATCATATCTCTCTGCATTATAGTACGTACCTAATTCTTACTTTATACTATAAAAATTTTTATTCTGCTTATATTTCTAACATGTGAAATATAGTAAAAGTTAAGCATTTAAAAAAATACAAGCTGAGTAGAAATAAAAAGAAGAAAATGTTATTTATATCTTTTTTTGTCTTTCCAGTGCTCGACTACAATCAATTCATTTACGAATGTATATTACATGCAAGCTAATACCAATTGTGGGTACACATATGAAATAATGGACGCTCTTATAATTGATTTTTGCTTTTTTCTTGCTCTAATGAAACATTCGATGTTTCGCATTTACGCTGAAAATTTGACACGCAATTACACTTCTGCCATCAGTGATTATTGTGCAATTAATACTGAAGAAAAACGTACAGTAATGCGGCAACACGCTTTCCTGGAAAGAATGGTTTTCTACTTTGTCGTAGCAATGGCGTTCACCTGTTTCACTTGTTTAACAATGACACCCATCATCGAATAGTCTAACAATGTACAAGTTAATGCATTCACTAATAAGCATACTGCAAAATATTCTGTTCTCTCAGATTGCACGTGGGGAATGTTAAATGTCTCGATGAGGACGTATTTGTTGCTTTTTGTACTGCAGTTTATTCAAATAGCGATCAGTTCCTGTTCTTATGTCGGTAAATTAAAATAACATTGTGTTATTGACATGATTTGCATGCAAGTACAAAAATTTTGTTTTTATTAAACATTATGTACTTTTTTAATAACAAAAATGCTAACAATATTTTACTAACAATATTTTTATTTTCTAATTTTTTAATCTTATTTTTATCTTAGCTTTCTTAATCGTCAGTTATATGTAAATTTAACTTTGTTAACAAGTAAATAAAATATTATTTACTATAAAAAATTTTTATTATTTTAAAATTTTATTGATATAAACCTAAATGTAAAATTTTAAAATAGGTAAATCTAACGTTTTTTTATATAAGCACTATAAGTATAAAATATTATAAATTAATTACTTTGCAAAGAAAGACGTAAAATAAAAATCTTATTAAACATTTGCAGAATTGCATATTATCCATATGTTTTTATCAATGAATTGCATATTATACTAATATCATATGTTATCCAGTAGTGCATAAAAATTAATAGATAATGCGAATTTATATACAATAATAGCATACAATTATTAAATTTATTATAAAATTAATAAATTTTTATAAATTATATATATTTAAATTATTGTAAAATTTTTTCAAGTTTTCAATTGATTCTGGCGTTGAAAGTGATTGACGTCATAATAATAGTTAAAGCTACAATATTGTTACTTACTTTCTTGTCACAATTGTTCGCCTATTCTGTTGTGGGTGAATATTTGATAAATCAAACAGAAGGAGTCGCATACTCGATGTTCTGTTCCAATTGGCATTGCTTGTCAGCAAAATTCATGAGAAATATCTTGTTTGCCATTGCACGATCGCAGCAACCCGTTACATTTTTAGCTGGAAAATATCTAGTCGTTAATTTATCAACTTATATGTCGGTATTACAAACCTTTTTTTCATACTTATCTGTCCTACGTATGATAGTGGACAATTAAAGTAAAAATAATTACTGTAAGAAAATAAAGAATTGCATATATCTAAACCATATTTCACAATGTTGAATCAAACTGAAAGGAATTATTAGCATAACTGAAAATGTATCTAAAATCCTAAAGTGGTTTGCGTGTAAATTTCTTAATAAATTGTTCAAATTTATACCATATAAATTTATACCATATAAATTTGTACTTCATAAATATAATTTCACAGTTTCAACAATATTGATTTATTAAGGGATGCTGAAATGATATCCGAATTTCAATGCAAAGGCGCCTTTATTTAGATAAAATTAAAAATGATATAAAATTACCGATGTAATGTCTGCGTATACGAATTGACAGATCGATTATCTGCTCATAATCTTGCAATAAAAACTTTTAACACTTTATATGTAGTATTCAATAATTCTTCCGGATGATGATCAAAATAATCCAGATAAACAAACGTAAAGAGAATGTTATATATTGGAATATTTTCAGTGCTCATAATATATGCGCAAAACATTTCAATATTGACAAATATTAAAATACATTTTATAGAACATCTGTTATAAATTTATTTTTCCAATACTTTCGCGTGCATTTGTAATGACGGTGACACATTATTGTCTTTACATTCTTTTAATATTTTGTATTATTGGAGAAACAATAAAATATTATAAAACATTTATTATAATCAACATAAATACATACTCATGTATTCGTCATTAATAAAAAGAATTTTCTTGTACAGCATATGAAAAGTATGCAAAAAATATAATAATCACTTATGTTATCTCAAAAATTGTTATATGAAAGTCCAAACCGGTTCAAACACATTTTTGTTAAAAAAAATAGTTTAAAGCATAAAGACATTATAGCATCATGCTAGCGAGTAATAAAATAACTGAAGGCAACGTAACGAAAAGAGAATAAAATTCTCGTTTTCCTCATTCTTTTTTCTCTATTTTCATGAAAATAATGTTACTATCAATTTTTCAAATAACAGTGTTTTATAAATGATAGAGCATGTTGATAAGTAAAATTGAACAGCGTTAATAAAATATGAACATGAAAGTGAATTTATTGCTGATGATCGACTATGCATACAGACCGACAATTGTGATCATCGTGGAACATTGTGAAACTCTAGCTAACTTCGATTATGTGGAATGACGATATAGCGTATGCTATGGCTTTTAGTAAATTCTTCACATTACCCTTAGGTGGTTGGCCACTGCAAGAATTCAATACATTTACATTGATCCGTTTTATCATGTCTTTCTGCATTACGGTACGTTCTTGATTTTTACTTTATACCGTTCACTTATACCGGAAGCTTACTTTTACTTTATACCTGCTTACATTTCCGACATGTGAGATATAATAAATTTGAACATTTAAAATGATATAAGATCAGTAAGAATAAAGAAAAAAAAAAGTTATTTTTATTTCTTTTTTTGTCTTTGCAGTTCTCATTAATAATTACTTCATTTATTAATGCGTATTACATGCAAATTAATATCCATTGTGGCAACATGTATGGAAAAATCGACGCTCTTATGATTGGTTTTTGCTGCATTCCTGCTGTAGTAAAACATTCGATGTTTCGCATTTACGCTGAAAATATGACACGCAATTACTCATCTGCCATCAGTGATTATTGTGCAATTGATACTAAAGAAAAACGTACAGTAATGCGACAACATGCTTTTCTGGGAAGAATGATTTTCTACTTTGTCGTAGCAGTGGCATTCACCACTTCCGTTGGTTTAATAATGACGCCCGTAATCGAATATTCTAACAATGGACAAGTTAATGCATCCACTAATAAACCTATTGCAAAATATCCTGTTCCCTCAGATTGCACATGGGGGCAGTTAGATGTCTCAACGGGAATGTATTTATTGCTTTTTGTAGTGCAGTGTATTCAAATAACGATCGGTTCCAGTGCTTATGTCGGTAATAAAATTAAAATAACATGGTGTTTACATGCAAGCTCAAAATATTAGTTTTTATTAAACATTATGTTTCATAAATTTTTATACATATTTTTTAATAACTGCAATGTATACTAACAATATTTTTATTCTCTAATTTTTTAATCTTATTTTTATCTTAGCTTTTTTAATCGTCAGTTATATGTAAATTTAACTTTGTTAACAAGTAAATCAAATAATATTTACAATAATAAATTTTTATTATTTTAAAATTTTATATATTGATTTAAAGTTAAATATAAAGTTTTATTTTTAATGTATATATAATAGATACTTTATATTATAAATTTACTGCACATTAACATTATATTTTTATATCATTTGCAATTGTTACATAAATGCTTTACTTAATGTTCAAAATCTTTTAAAATAAATTATTTTAATTTGAGATTCATATATTTATTTATAAAGGCAATGACTCACTTTTTCTCACAATCACCCTGCATGTGTGCGGACAAATGGAACTCTTAGGAATTGAATTTCGTAAGTTTGCGGTGGAAACCAAAAATATCAAGATGGATCTTTTAAAATTAACAACGAGACATTGTTATCTATTAAGTCATGCTCAACAACTGGCTGATGCAATAAGCGTTATTTTATTAACGCAGTTATTTTGCAGTAGCATCCTCATTTGCATAATAGGTAAATATTTTCTAAACCTAACGCTTTTTCAATTTTCATGTAAGCGATATTATAAGTATAAAATATTATAAATTAATTACTCTGCAAAGGAAGACGTAACATTAAAATCTTATTAAACATTCGTAGAATTGCTTATTTATTTATACGTCTTTATTAAAGAATTGCACATTATAATAATATCTCTCATATATGTATTATTTAGTAGCATATAAAAATTAATAGATAATGAGAATTTATGTATAGTATTATAATAGCATAAAATGATTAGATTTATTATAAAATTATCAAATTTTTATAATGTCCAGTTTAAATCAGAGGATGATCTTACTCGTGGCTCATCTGTGAAAATTATACTATAGTTGACTTTCAATCGTATTAACCTTAATAATTTTTTTTTTAATTGGATAAAAAAAAAGTAATTTGATACAGTTGATACGATTGGAAGCGAAATTCAGTATAATTTTAACTAACTTATCAAACTATCGGAGCCACAAGTAAGATCATCTTTCAGTCTAGACAGGCCATAAATTACATGTATATTATTGCAAAATTTTTTCAGGCTTTCAATTTATTCTGGCGTTGAAAGTGGTTGACGTAGTAATGATAATTAAAGCTTCAATAGCGTTAATTACTTTCTTGTCACAGCTGTTTGCCTATTCTGTCGTAGGCGAATATTTAAAAAGTCAAACAGAAGAAATCGCATACTCGATTTACTGTTCCAATTGGCATTGCTTATCATCAAAATTTATGAAGAATATCTTGTTCATCATTGTACGATCGCAGCAACCCGTTACATTTATGGCTGGAAGATATCTGGTTGTTAACTTACAAACTTATATGTCTATATTAGAAACCTCATTTCAATATTTATCTATTCTACGTATGATGGTGGAGACTTAAAAATAATTATTATAGGAAAAGAGAAAATTGTACATATCTAAACAATATTTTCATGTTGTGCAAAATCGAAAGAATTATTATTATTGTATAAAATTGAGAATGTGTCTAAAATCCTACTTCAAAATAGTGTGTATTTACTTTTGAGGACTCTTTTCCGCGTTACTAATTGATTCGATTCGCGTTATGCATTACTACGTATTATCGAGCGGTTGTCAACCGCATCGCGACATTTGTGTTCATTAAATCGGTTGTCATTGAGACAATTGCGTTTGACATTATGTTGACAGCTTATGTCTTTGTTATTATACAAAAAGCAGAAATGTTTTAAAGAAAATAGTAATATAAAATATTATATAACGTTTAAACGCAAAGATAAGTGTATTTCAGAGAATTTAAGAATGAAAGAGATTTTAAAAGAATCAGAAAGATTTAGAAAGAATGAAAAATGAGAGAAGAAAAAATGGCATGCGCGCTTGTATGACCTATTAGAAAAAAACATGTTACATTTTCTCACAGTATGAAATGTAAAACTATAAAATAAATTTTGCAGAATATTTTATAGTTAAATAAAACTATCAAAGTTCTTTACCGTTTTGCAATATCGTAATGATAATTAAGATAGTAATTAAAAAGGATTGACGAATGATAGCACGTTGCGCATGGCTACACCGTGGGCTGTACGATTTGAACTTTTTTATTCAGTTTACTGCGCTCTACCTGTACACGAGCGTTTGGACAAACATTATAAAATACCCTGTATATTCGAATAATTTCAGTGCCTATAATATATGCGCAAAACACACGCACATTTCAATATCTTGACAAATATTAAAGTATCTTTTTATAGAAAAATCTGATGTAAATTTATTTTTCCAATACTTTTATGCGCATTTGTAGAGACGGTAATGCATACTTGTTACTTTACATTCTTTTAATGTTTTGCATTATATTGAAAAAATAAAAGAATATTAACTAATAGAATTTTAATAAAATATAAATTATAATCAACATAAATATACATTTATCTATTTGTTATTAATGAAACAATTTTCTTGTGCAACATATAAAAATATCCAAAAAATATAATAATTACTTACATTGTTTCAAAAATTGATATATTAAAATTCAAACCAAATTGCACTCTTATACGCATACATATACTCCTGATTAAAAAAAGTAATTTTTATGCAAAAAGATATTATAGCATTATATTATGGAGTAACTGAAAGTAACGTAACAAAATGAGAATAAAATTTTTGTTTCCTTATTTTTTTATTTTTATAAAATTTCATAAAATTTTTAAATTAAAAAAAAAATGTTTTATTTTCATAAAAAATATTTCCATAAATTTTTCAAATAACAGTACTTTGTAAATAATAGAGCGTGTTAGTAAGTAATTGAGCAGCTTTAATGAAATATGATCATTAGTAAACTTATTGACGAGGATCAATTCATTATTATGGACAAAGACTGACATTTGTGATCATCGCACAATATTTCTACCTAATTTCGATAATGTCATGAGACAACAACGTAGCGTATGACTTTTATTAAACTCTTCACTATATAAATAATTAGTCTTTGCAACAATACAATATATTTGTCAAAACATATTTTTTGTCAAAAAAAAAAAAAAAAAATGGTTTAATGTATAAAGACACTATAGCATCATGCTATCCAGTAATACACTTACTGGAGGCAAGATAAAAATAAAATTCTCGTTTTTTTCATTTTTCTTCCCCTAGAAAGCTTATAAAAAAAATGTTTCCAACAATTTTGCAAATAACAGTATTTTGCAAATGATAAAGCGTCTTGGTAAGTATGGCAGCTTGAATAAAATACAAATAGCTTTAATAAAATATGAACATGAAAGTGAATTTATAGCTGACGATCAACTGATATTATGCATAAAGACCTACAATTGTGATCATTGTGCAACATCCCTAGCTAACTTCGATTATGTGGAATGACGATATTGCGTACGCTATGGTTTTCAGCAAATTTTTTACTTTGCCCATAGGTGACTGGCCATTACAAAAATTCAATACATTTACATTAGTCCGTTATATCATATCTTTCTGCATTATAGTACGTTCTTAATTTTTGTTTTATACTATGAAAATTTCTATTTTGCTTATATTTCCAACATGTGATATATAGTAAAAGTTAAACATTTAAAATGATACAAGATGAGTAGAAATAAAAAGAAGAAAGTGTTATTTACATCTTGTTTTGTCTTTGCAGTGCACGAATATAATCAATTCATTTATTAACGTTTATTACATGCAAGCTAATATCAATTGTGGCAACACATATAAAATAATCGACGCTATGATGATTGGTTTTACCTGCGTTCTTGCTCTAATAAAACATTTGATGTTTCGCGTTTACGCTGAAAATTTAACACACAATTACTCTTCTGCTATCAATGATTATTGTGCAATTGATACTGAAGAAAAACGCACTATAATGCGGCAACACGCTTTCCTGGGAAGAATGGTTTTCTACTTTGTCACAGCAATGGCATTTACCTGTGCTGTTTGTTTAATAATGACGCCCATCATTGAATATTCTAACAATGTACAAGTTAATGCATCTACTAATAAGCATACTTCAAGATATCCTGTTCCCTCAGATTGCACATGGGGGAAGTTAGATGTCTCGATGAGGACATATTTGTTGCTTTTTGTACTGCAGTTTATTCAAATAGGGATCAGTTCCTGTGCTTACGTCGGTAAATTAAAATAACATTGTGTTGTCGACATTGTTTGCATGCAAGCACAAAAAATTTGTTTTTATTAAACACTATGTATTTTTTTAATAACACGAAAATGCTAACGTTATTTTACTAACAATATTTTTATTTTCTAATTTTTTAATCTTATTTTTATCTTAGCTTTATAAATCGTCAGTTATATGTAAATTTAACTTTGTTAACAAGTAAATAAAATATTATTTACTATAAAAAAATTTTTATTATTTTAAAATTTTATTGATTTAAAGCAAAATGTAAAGTTGTTTTATGTATATATATTTTTTTATGTATATAATAGATACTCTATATTATAAATTTAATAACTGCGCACACACATTCTATTTTTTATACCATTTACAATAGATTATAACATAAATGCTTTACTTAATCTTCAAAATCTCTTTACATTAATTATTTTAATTTGAGATTTATATATTTATTTATAAAGGCAATGACTCACTTTTTCTCGCAATTACCCTGCATGTTTGCGGACAAATGGAACTCTTAAAAATTGAATTTCGTAAAAATTTTGCTATGGAAACCAAAAATATCATGGAGGATTTTTCAAAATTAATGACGAGGCATTGTTGTCTATTGAGGCTTGCTCAACAACTGACTGATGCAATAAGTGTGGTTCTATTAATGCAGTTCTTCGTCAGTAGCATTCTCATTTGCATAATGGGTAAATATCTTCTAAACCTAACGTTTTTTTATATTTAATATAAGCACTATAAGTATAAAATATTATAAATTAATTACTTTGCAAAGAAAGACGTAAAATGAAAATCTTATTAAATATTCGCAGAATTGCTTATTATCTATATGTCTTTATTAATGAATTGCATATTATACTAATATCATATGTGTTATTCAGTAGTGCATAAAAATTAATAGATAATGTAAATTTATATACAATAATAGCATACAATTATTAGATTTATCATAAAATTAATAAATTTTTATAAACTATATATATTTATATTATTGTAAAATGTTTTTAGGCTTTCAATTGATTCTGGCGTTGAAAGTGATTGACGTAGTAATGATAATTAAAGCTACAATAATGTTACTTACTTTTTTGTCACAATTGTTCGCCTATTCTGTCGTAGGCGAATATTTGAAAAGTCAAACAGAAAAAGTCGCATATTCGATTTACTGTTCCAATTGGCATTGCTTGTCAGCAAAATTTATGAGAAATATCTTGTTTATCATTGCACGATCGCAGCAACCCGTTACATTCTTAGCTGGAAATTATCTAGTCGTTAATTTACCAACTTATATGTCTGTATTACAAACCTCTTTTTCATACTTATCTGTCCTACGCATGATGGTGGACAATTAAAGGCTCATAATTAAGCCAAAACATCTTGTTCTTGATAATCGTATTTTATGTTAATTTACAACTAAAATTATTTTTTATCATGGCAAGCAATGCTTTTGCACTGTCTGACATATTGCTTTAAGAGAATAACAGTTTTACTTCAAAATCACAATATCTTTGAAGCAAATGACAGATCGATTATCCGCTCATAATCTTGCAATAAAAACTTTTAACACTTTATACTATATGTAGTATTCAATAATTCTTCCGGATGATGATCAAAATAATCCAGATAAACAAACGTAAAGAGAATGATATACAGGGTGTCTGGCAATAATCGCCCCACCGGTCATATACAGGTAGAGGAGGTCAAATCGAGTAGAAAAGTCCTTTACCATTTTTTAATTTTCATAATAAGTACTGAGTAATTAACGAAAAAAGATCGGCGAATCCGCGCGAGTAAAGCGCGCGCGGTGAGAAAGACGTCCCACTGCTACGCGATCACTAGGCGCGCGATGAAGCGTTGGGAGGAGCGCTCTACAAATGACAATGGCAACATACGAGCGGCGCGTAACGCTAGATCCTTGTGTCCTAGTGATCGCGTAGCAGTGGGACGTCCTTCTCACCGCGCGCGCTTTACTCGCGCGGATTCGCCGATCTTTTTTCGTTAATTACTCAGTACTTATTATGAAAATTAAAAAATGGTAAAGGACTTTTCTACTCGATTTGACCTCCTCTACCTGTATATGACCGGTGGGGCGATTATTGCCAGACACCCTGTATATTGGAATATTTTTAATGCTCATAATATATATGCAAAACATTTCAATATTGACAAATATTAAAATACGTTTTATAGAAAATTTGTTGCAAATTTATTCTCCCAATACTTTCGTGTGCATTTGAAATGACGGTGACATATATTTGTTACTTTACATTCTTTTAATGATTTGCATTATAGTGGAAAAATAATAAAATTTTAAGTAATAGAATTTTAATAAAATATATATTATAATCAACATAAATATACATTTATCTATTTGTTATTAATAAAACAATTTTTTTACGCAACATATAAAAATGCCCAAAGAATATAATAATTACTTATATTGTTTCAAAAATTGATATATTAAAATTCAAACCAAATCGCACTCTCATATGCATACACATACTCCCGATTAAAAAACGTAATTTTCATGCAAACAGATATTATAGCATTATGTTACGGAGTAACTGAAACGTAACAAAATAAGAATAAAATTTTTGTTTCCTCAATTTTTTATTTTTATAAATTTCATAAAATTTTCATATTTAAAAAAATGTTTTATTTTTATAAAAAAATGTTTCCATAAATTTTTCAAATAATAGTACTTTGTAAATGATAGAGCGTGTTAGTAAGTAATTGAGCAGCTTTAATGAGATATGATCATTAGTAAACTTGTTGACGAGAATCAACTCGTTATGGACAAAGATCGACATTTGTGATCATCGCACAATATTTCTACCTAATTTTGATAATGTCGTGAAACAACGACGTAGCGTATGACTTCTATTAAACTCTTCGCTATATCTACAGGTAATTAAGCTTTGCAAGAATACAATATATTTGCTTCAGCCCGTTATATCCTGTGGCTTTAGTGTGGTACGTTTTTAATTTTTTATTTTATGCCGTGACAGTTTCTGTTCTGTATATGTATATTTTCGAGATGTCAGATACAGTAAAAAAAAAAGTTGGATAAGCTTGGTACAAATTTAGTAGAAATAAAAAGAAATAGAAAATGTTATTTGTAATAAATAATCTACTTTTTTTATGTTTGCAGTGATCGGTAGCAGTCATGTCGTATCTTAACATTTATTATGGTTGCAGCGATATTTACCAGAAGCTTAACTCTCTTATACTTGCTATATACAACATTGTTGAAATTACTAATGTTCCGCATTTACGCCTACAACCTGACCCGCATTTAAGCCATCAACGATTATCTGGCAATTAACACTGAAGAAAAACTTTAATGAGAGAATTTTAATAAAACTTTAATTAAAATAATCAATACAGGTATTTATTATCCATTTATGGCAAATAGAAAATTTTTTCACATGCAGCATACAGAAAGTATTCCAAAAATTTGATAATTACGTCATCGCAGAAATTGATAAACTAAAGTTCAATTTGAATAGCACGATAGAAGAATGTTGATTTCAATGCAAAACATATTATAGCATTATGTTGTCAAGTAACGTAACTGGAAATAATGTAGCGAAATAAAGATAAAACTTCTATTTTTCTCATTTGGTGCTTGGTAGTTGGGGTATAGTACGTTTTCGATTTTCATCTTTCAAATAACTTTCAAAATTTTATTTTTATTTGTGTCTTTGAAAAGTCCAAACGTAGTCAAGTAAAAAATGCAATTTAGCATGAATCCAATTTAAAAAAAAAAAGACAAATAAATAAATAAAGTGTGATCGTTAATAAAAAATTGAACTTTTTTGCTTTTGCAGAGCATAGTGATAATTATGTCACTCTTTGAAATTTGTTATGATTGCAGCGATATATATGAGAAACTCGATGCTCTTATGATCTTTACTTGCTCCACGATCGGTCTATTAAAAATATCGACGTTTCGCATTTACACCGATAATTTGATTCGCAATTTCTCTTCTGTGATCAACAATTATCTAGCAATTGATACCGACGAAAAGCGCACGATTATGCGACGACACGCTTTTTTGGGAAGAACAATTTTATACAATATCGCATTATTCGCTTTCTTTGGTTCGCTTGGTTTGATTCTGGCGCCTATTATGACAAATTATAAAAATGATCAAATCAATGTGTCTATTAATAATGTTGCATTAGTATATCCTCTTCCCGCAAAATGTACATTAGCATACTTTTATATTTCGCCAACTTTGTACTTGGTGATTTTTGTGACACAAAGTATTGCAATAGTAATCACTGCTGCTGCCAATCTCGGTAATAAGATTAAAAAATCATTCCGATATCTACATGGTTTGCATGTAACGGTAAAGTAATTTATTTTAAATTTGTTCTGTTTTCTTTTTTTTTTATATAAGGCTGTATCTATTAATTGCATCCGTATTTTAATTTTTACAATTGTATCTCTATTTTACAATTGATATTTCTTATCTATAAGTTACATGCAAACTAAGTTTTTGTAAATTTTCTTTAATAAGACTTTGTTTAAAATTTATACTATGAATATTCTATAGATTTATTTTATAACATTGCGATAACGTTATATTTTGTTAAGTTATTTGCAGTAGATCTTACTTTTTCTATTATTGTTGAAACTGTTAATATATAATTTGCTTTTATACAAGATAAGTAAATTCTTTTTTAAAGGCAGCGATTCATTTTTTCTCGCAATCACTCTGCATGTTTGCGGACAAATGGAGCTTCTCAGAATTGAAATTGTCAACTTTGGTGTCAAAGATAGTAATACAAATAAAAATTTTACACAATTGATAACAAGGCATTCTTATCTATTAAATAATGCAAAACTTCTGGCCGATACAATTAGCTTTGTTCTGTTAACGCAATTGTTTATCAGTAGCATTCTCATTTGCATAATCGGTAAATATCTTCTGACTAATATAAGCAATATTATAAAGTATTGTAAACCGATTAATTTTTCTTTTCTTTTTTACGAAAAACATAAAATAAAAAAATTTTTTTAATACATAAATGTTATGATCTATATATATTTGCAAAACTTTTTTTAGGTTTTCAACTTATTCTGGCGTCGAAAACAAATGATGTAGTAATGATAGTCAAAACTATATCGGCGTTAATTACCTGCATGTCGCAGATATTCGCCTATTCTGTCGTGGGTGATTATTTCAAGCATCAAGCGGAAGAAATCGGTCATTCCATTTACTTCAGCAATTGGCATTATTTACCAATAGAATTAAAGAAAAGTATCTTGTTTTTCATTACACGATCATATCAACCCGTTCAGTTTGTAGCCGGCAAATTTATCGTCGTCAATTTGCAGACTTATATGTCTATATTAAGAACATCCTTCTCTTATTTGTCCGTGCTACGTGTAATGTTGGACACGTAAAGGTAATTATTAAAGAATAAAATAAATGTACATATCTAAGCAATGTTATGATTTTGTGCGGAATCAAAAACAATATTTTTATTGTACAACAATAAAATGTGCTAAATATATGTATAAAATTAGAATAAAAATAAAATATTATCTTTTTTTATAATATCAAAAAAATATTATAACTTTATCGTAATACCATTTTAATGCAATTTATTCCGCATAATTTGAGATTATAAAAATAAACGTTGTACACTGTTTTAATAATTAAATAAAGTTAAATAGACATACGTTTAATATAAAAACATATTATGCCGCTTATTAGAAAAATTATAAAATATTCTTGCAGTGTCTTATTTAAAAATTGATATAAAAATAATATAAAAAAATATATGTATATAAATTGTGCTTTCTCTTTCTTTCTTTCATTAAAATTTGCTCTCTTTAGTATTCGCTTATTTTGTTGTTCGCTAAATTACTTATTTCTTATAATTTTACTTTTTTTATTTTAAACATAACTTAAATAATTTTTTATTTAATAAGTATTGCACTGTTCTATTCACATTTTACTCTCTCTTTCTTTCTATCAGGAACAAAAAGATTTTACATTAAAAGCGCAATAAAAATATAATACATACATCTACTTGTCATAAATAACAAAATAACTTTTGACGAACCATACGAAATGTATTTGTAAACCATTTTAATTACTTGAAACTGATACATATTAAAATCTAAACTGGATCGCGCACATTCGTGATGAAAGAAAGTGACTCCAGTGCAAAAAAATATCATAGCATCATGTCAACGATAAACGTAACTGTGGAAACAATAGTAAAATAAAAATAAAACTGTTATTTTCCCCATACGGTTTTCGCTCTTCTCTACTTTCATAAAAAAAATATTTCTATCGATTTTTCAAATAACAGTATTTTGTAGATGATAGAGCGTGTTTGGTAAGTAATTGCGCAACCTTAATAAGATATGAACCTGAAGGCGAACATATTGCCAATGACCGACCCGTATTATGGACAAAGACTAACGTTTGTGAGTAACGCGCAACATCTCTACGTATTGATAATGTCATGGAATAACGATGTGACGTACGCTATGGCTCCCTATAAACTTTTAGCTCTGCCATTAGGCAGTTGGCCTTTGCAAAAATATGATAAATTTTCTTTACTACGTTATATTCTATGTTGCCTCGGTATGGTACGTTATTAAATTTTGATCTTTCAAGTAGTGCGTAAAAATATTTTTCTTCCGCTCTTTTCAGATATTCAAAGTATAGTCAAGTAGAACGTTCAGTATAACATAAATTCAGCGAGAAAAGAAGAATAAAGTGTAATCCGTAATAAACAATTTATTTTTTTGTATTCGTGCAGATTGCGATGCTAATCTTGATGTACGTCGAAATCTATCACGATTGCATTGATACAAGCGAGAAAATCGACATTTTAATGCTGACCACTTGCAGCATTATTGCTTTATCAAAGATATCGATATTCCGCATTTATGCCAACAATTTAACTCGAAATTTCACTTCTGCCATCAACGATTATCTCGCAATCGATACTGAGGAGAAACGCACGATCATGCTGCGACACGCTTTTATGGGAAGAGCAATTTACTACAGTATCGTGTTATTCGGTGTTATGGGTATATTAGGTTTGATTTTGACGCCTTTTATAACCAGTGATAACAATGCTCAACTAAATGTATCTATGAATGAATTTACATTAGTGTATCCTGTTCCTACACCATGTACATTAGGGCGCTTTCATATTTCGACAAATTTGTACTTGTTAATTTTTGTGACACAGTGTATACTGATAGTGATGACTTGCACTGCTAATCTCGGTAATAAAATTAAAATATCCTTTTTCTTTTATTATTGTTAAAACTGTTAATATAAACTTTCTTTATGCGATATCGCTATGTTTATTTTTAAAGGCAGTGATACACTTCTTTTCGGAATTATTCTGCATATTTGCGGACAAATAGAAGTCCTCAGATTTGAAATTGCCAACTTTGGTGTCGAAAATAAAAATATAGATCAAATTTTTTCAAAACTGACAAGAAGGCATTCTTATCTATTGACTCATGCAAAACTTCTAATCGATGCAATCAGTTTTGTTCTGCTAGTGCAATTACTCGTTAGTTGTATTCTTATTTGCACAATCGGTAAATATTTTTTAATGCTTCTGACTAATCTAAATAGTATTATAAAGTGTTGTGTATCAATTACATAAAATAAATACTTTATTAAACATTAATAAAATTTCTGATATTTTATATTTAGTAAAGAAATATTTATGTATTTATATATAATTATTAACAATTTTATAATTCATATATATTTATATAATTTTTTCAGGCTTACAATTTATTCTAGCGTTGAAAACAAGTGATGCAATGATGATAGCTAAAACTGTTTCAGCATTAGTTACCTTCATGTCACAAATGTTCGCTTACTCGTTCGTGGGCGATTATCTCAAGTATCAAGCGGAGGAAATCGCGAAATCGATTTACGGCTGTAACTGGCACCGATTTACAGCGAAATTAATGAAGAACATCTTATTCGTCATTGCACGATCACATCAACCTGTTCAATTAACAGCTGGAAAATTTTTTGTCGTTAACTTAGAGACGTACATGTCAATTTTAAAAACCTCCTTCTCATATTTGTCCTTCCTACGTCTAATGTTGGATGCATAGAGTAAAGATAATTATTGAAAGGTAATTGTACATATTTAAATAATATTACGATTTTGTGCGTAAAAACAATATTATTATTGTACAATAATGTAGCGCTAAAAATGCATATAAAATTAAAATAAAAGCCAAACGTTATTTTTTTCATATCTTAATTTATATAATATAATTTTATATAATTCATACATCAATAAATGTATTGTGTGTTACCGTATCGTTTTTACGAGATAATATATGATTTGAAACTGTAAAAGTAAGTTTTGTGTATTACTTTATAAATAAAACTAATAATTCTGTGATTAAACGAAATTCATATACTTAATGCAAAAACATACTATGCCATTTAATAGAAAAAACATCCCAATAGTGTTTTGTTAGAAGCGCATGATTATGCGGCGTCATGCTTTCACAGGAAGACTAATTGTTAGTGTCATATTTTTTTCTCACACTGATGCTTGATTTTCAAAATGACATTTATGCTGACAAATGATAAAAATGTGCAGGTCAATGTATTCATCAATGATTACTCAAGATTCTTTATTCCCATAATATGTATATTAGAGCATTTTTCTGTCTACACCCACACAGCATGATTACCTGCGGAACGTTCGGGTGACATTCCGAAGATATCGTATCTCTTAAGGATATCTTTAGAGTGTCTTTTGGACGTCTTTTGGACCTGTGTGCTGTGTGGGCATGAGTTAATATTCAATTATTTTTGTGGTACAATGTGTTCTATTAATAATTACTATTAATCTCGGTAAGATTAAAAATAAGATTAAAAATTATTGCAAAATCAATATGATTTACACAAACTAAAAAATATTAATTTATTTTAAATACTTAATTTTTTAATCTAACCAAAAAATTATTATTATATAATAATTACTATGACGTTGAAAATGTGTGTGAAATTAGCATGCAAATTTAACGTAATTTTTTTCTTGCAATATCAATAAAAATATTGTACATACTGTAATACAATTCTAATGAGATCTATAGTGACACATAATTGAAAATTGTAAAAATAAATTTTGTATATTATTTTATAATTAAGTAAAATAATAATTCTATAATTAAATAAAATTGATGCATATATATTCAATTTTAATTTTTATAAATCTTGTTACATTATCGCACAAAGCGTTTTAAATTTTTAAACTTTGTATTTTAATTGCAAAAATATATGTTATATTATTACCTTGTTTTATTTGAGTCCATTTTTGTATTTCCCACAAGAAGTTCAATTATTTATTACGATGGTAATCGTTCTCTATTTTATCGGCGACTAAGTTCGATTTATTTCTAGGTATGTGGATAAGAGGGCGGTAAAATCGATGGCTCTGCTGTTTATGTATTTTTTTTATCTCCGACTGCAATAATTTGAGAATAAGTTGTTATAATTATTTATAAATAACAATGTTTATGTTTATGAAAGTGCATATTTATCGAGAACGATACAAATAATAAGTATAAATCATGAGTTTAATCTTATATAACTTGTTTTGATCACGTGTGAATTCTGACAGAACATTTCAATGTGATCAGTTTGTATTTTTATATATCGACAGTTGGAAATAATTTGCATAAACTCGAATAAATACTGCAATTAAAATGGCGCAACGATTAAGCAATCAAGCAAAGCTTAAATCACTTTTTACTGTAACGAGTAGTGCTGTTGTATTGTTCGGTGGTATTTCGCTTTATCAGGGCAATGAAAGATTTTACAGCAAAGTCGTAATACCTCTGGTGCAATTATTAGATCCAGAAACTGCTCATAATCTTGCAGTGAAAACTTTGAAATGGGGTTTGATATCAAAACAGAAAACAGAAGACTCCAATTTGCTTCAAACAACCATATTAGGTTTGCAATTTAAAAATCCCATTGGCATGGCTGCAGGATTTGATAAACAGGGTGAAGCAGTAGAAGGATTGAACAATATTGGTTTTAGTTTTGTGGAAATAGGTAAAATTTATCTAATAATTATAGACAATATTTTAAGATGTTTCTAAATGTTGTAGAATCTGTTGTTAGAATATATTATTTATATTTTGCAGGATCTGTGACACCTAAACCTCAACCTGGTAATCCAAAACCTAGAGTTTTCAGATTGCCCGAGGATGGAGCAGTTATAAATAGATATGGCTTTAACAGCGATGGTCATGATGTTGTATCGGAACGTCTTAAGAAATTAAAAGAGAATAAAAATTTTAATTGCATTCTTGGAGTGAATTTAGGAATGAATAAAGGGACAAAAGATGCAGTTGAAGATTATATTAATGGCATAAAGAAATTCATGGATGTAGCAGATTATTTTGTCATTAATGTATCTAGTCCTAACACTCCAGGATTAAGATCCTTACAAAACAAGAAGAATTTGGAAGAGTTACTGATCAGAATAAATGCAGCCAGAAAGTCTATGGGTACTAAGCAACCATTGCTTTTAAAACTGGCTCCAGATTTGTCAGATTCTGAGCGACAAGATGTGGTGGATGTAATTTTAAAGAAAAATTCTAAAATTGATGGCTTAGTTTTGTGCAATACAACAATTATGCGACCAAATTTGACTAATTCGAACAAGAAAGAAAGTGGTGGCCTCAGTGGTGCACCTCTCACAGATATTTCTACTGCTATGATTTCTGATATGTATAGACGAACACATGGCAGGATTCCAATTATTGGTGTAGGTGGTATCTCCTCTGGCGTTGATGTTTATAATAAGATAAGAGCTGGTGCTTCCTTAATACAACTTTACACTTCATACATATACAATGGACCACCAATAGTTGGAAAGATCAAAAGAGAATTATGTGAAATACTTGAAACTAATGGTTTTTCTTCTGTAAGCGATGCAGTTGGCAAAGATTCTGGGAACAGATGATTATTCATTTCATTTAATTCATTATAGATTATTTTTCAATGCTTTGACACGATTTTTACATGCTATACATGATTAATATTATACATTATTATGCATGAATAATTCTGTATACCTAATGTGCAATATATAAAGTCTATTATGCATAATATATAAATAATTATTAGAAAGCTTTTGTTCAGAAAGTTTGTAGGAATTTTTATTTTAATTTATATTTTCCCACATAGCATGCATATCCAAAAGACGTCCAGAAGACATTTTGAAGATATCCTTGAGAGATATAATATATTTGGGATATCTTCTCAACGTCCCTCAGATATGCATGCTGTGTGGATTTACTTATATAATAATTATATCATTTTTAATAAGCTTTAAATGTAAGAAATGTCATTTTGTCTTAATAGCTTTGACATACCCCAAAATGCTTTTACCATTTTTTGAATTTTTGTTATAATTAAATAACCGTTTTAATTAATTAACCAATTTGTTTTAATTAATTTATTAAATTATAAGTGCATATACAAATCTATTTCTAATATACCACATACTGCGCATTATTAATGAGTTTATGATAAATTTCGAAAAATTAAATTGCTAAATATTTATGTAAATATATTTTTTCCAGAACATTACGTAAATCTAAAGACGCAGTATCGCGCGTCTATGCAAAACAGCAAAAATTTATAAATATGTCATCGTATTAGTGCTTACATCAACAAAGATTTATTTTTCACATACAAAGATTTATTTTACACAACAATTTTTATTAACTGTTATCTCAACTGCAATTTTGCATTAAAATCAATGCTAAATTGATCTCTTATACAATTAAATATTAATACGAATAACGGATATTTTTTTGTTATGATTAGTGTGTAAGTGCATATTACGTGTACTTAAACGATGCAAAAAACAAAAGAGTTATTAAAGCAAATTACTTATCGGAACCGATTGTGATGCATTATAGATGTAAAATAGGCTATATAAATTCATAAAAATGACAATAAACGATAATAATAATAATAATAATAAAATGAGATCATTACATTGATCTTTCGCATAAGAAATCAATTCATCATTAAAATTCATGACTTTGTATATTTTAAATAATATTCATATTTTCCGTTTAATTGAATTTATCAAACCAATAATCACTTTAACACAAAATATGTTATAATCGAACAAATCATAATTACTTATTCTGTGGATTGTAACATTTCCATTGATCCACTCTACTCTATGCTATTTTCAATTTCGTGGGGACGTAGTGCATAATACTGATCGCTGCCGCTTGAGGGCGTTAGTGATGCGCGTTCTAAAGTCGTCGTTGCACGCGGTATCTCTGGTTCTTTCCCGTGATACTACGACCGTAATCGGAGCAGTCAGCTGTTGTGTCAAGTGAACATCCTTAACCAACAAATTGCGGGAATATTCGGCCAGTATTACGCGATCTGAACATCCGCGACGAGCTGTGTATGCCCCGACGATCAGCTGGCCAGATTCGATAATACGGCGGAGGTACGTTTTCCTCGGCATTTGCCGCAATTGTCCGTCGTGGAGAGATCGGAGTGCTCGGCTCCTTCGTACCTGCTAGTCATCGACACGCGACGGAGTTTAACTACGAGCGTAGTCTATCGCGCCTTGTCTCGAAACATTCTCTTCGCGATCCCGCGAACATTCGCCAGTTAACGCTCATTAATACAGAAGAAGTAGTGCACGTTCCGCGGGTAAACAAAATCCTTGGAGAGAAATTTTGCAACACGCTGCAGCTGTACGGCTTTACCGTACCCGCTTGTCTCACGTATATATGCATATACTTGTTTAAATACGATATATCAATGACGATTATTTGACGTCTATTCGTAAAAGTACGATTGCTGTGGTTTGTATGACAATTTGTCACTGCCATTACGACTTCGACGACAGGCTCTCTTAGGATGGACGATGCCACATTTAAATCATACACAATAAATTTACGTTACTTGTATTATCTCTAATTTGCGATTGTACAAACTGCGATTGTGCACACAATCATTTCTTAATATTAAAAAGAACAATAAGTTTCTCTAAATCAGTTGTACAATATAACGTTAATTAATAATGTTAATTTAGTGAACATTTTGTTTGGAACAACTTAATACAGACTTTTTCTTTGTATAATATTAGTTTCATTGTGCAATTTGACAACTCAATATTAACTCTGATTTGTTTATTCAAGAATACTAATGAGAAATTATCGACAAACAAAAAGATGACATCATCGTCATCCTTGGAGGCAACTTGTCACTTTTGTGAGAACTTATAAGTAAAAACTTATTCGTGTAATTAAAGCGTTTGATAAATTAAATTAAAAATAAGTTAAATTAAAATTAAAATACAAATAAAAATAAAATAAATTTCATCGATTAGTTTAATTAAAATAAATAGATGATTTAAAGTCTTATTTTAAACTGATATTTTCGTGTGAATTCTGTTTTAACAGATATTGCATTTTGGCATTGATCGTCATTCAATCGTAACGCAATGTGACGATTACAAGGTAAACAACTTCTGCTTAACGTGCAATAATGTTTCACATCCCTGTGGTTATTTTAAGAGATAACGAATGGTACACAATTCTGGAAATACCTTTCACGAGACACAAAAGAGACACGGTGTCTCTGCCGTGAATCGAGTGTGTCGAAATTCTGCATTACATGACTTTAAGAATTGCAACACACCCGATTATTCATGCGTCCTGCAGACGCGGTGAAATCGCCGTGTCTGCGACTTGTATCATTTTTTTCACAGAGAAAGCAGTGAATCGTTTTGACAAAAAGCTGTTAAAAATGTGAGTGAACGAATGTGCGACGCGATACCGATTAAAATAAAACTACCATTGTTCTCAAATCTTACGAGACGAGCCAGCTATCAGCGATTACAATAATGTAAATCCGATGGAAGAATAAGACGTATCTTGGACATGGCGCTTTTTTTTATGCTTTACTAGAGTGTTTTTCTTTTTATAAATAAATATTTTTTTGATAGGTATTATATTTACATTTGTCGAAATTCCCGCCAATGAAAATAATTTCGGACGAAATAACAATTTGATCAATTTATATATATTCACTTTTATTGAACGCTGAAGGATGAATTTTATTTTTGTATCTCCTTGATACGCGTAAGTATAACACAGCCAGAATGCGATCACTTTTGCAACCAGTTTTCGAGGAAAACATATAATATGCATTCGTCAGGTTAATTATCTTTGTACTGAGTCATTTGAACGTGACAACGAATGAATGTGCGATATTACTGCCATTATCATAGCCATGCGTGCGATTCTAAGTTTTACAGAATCTATTCTTATTATTTGATTAACAGGTTCGACATTTCGTATATCACGTCTTAATTGTATTTTCGTGAATTTTATGTTGTGTACACGAAAAGTGAAACAACACGTTAATAGGCATATCTCAATAAGATTTTGTTTGATCAGCTGTACATTTACTAAAACTTTTGCGTTCGTAGTGTAATATAATCTGACTGGAATTATCATTTTTCT